GGTGAATGGGCTTATAGATTCCATTTGGAGGGATGTTGGTGAACACTGAAAGAGGCATCAGCACAAATATCTTGTTGATTTATACCAAAACTTGATGTTTTACCGGTGAGGAAAAGAGTTAGTAAAATGCATATGCCTGCATGATGTTCACCAGACGTGGTATTATGTTAAATGCATATGGTATGTACATGCTATGATGTATGAATGTGAGATGTATGTTTTTGTCCAGGAAAATAAATCCCTGACTGTTGCTGAGGAAGTTCTGGGAGATTGAATTCCTGATTGCCGTTGGAGATGAAGAATATGCATATCTTCAAATTTTGTTGAAATGATCTTTCGCTGGGGAATATCACTTGAATGTCAGCTGTTATCTGGTCGGATCCAGGCTTCACAATTGCTGAGGATGAAGCAATCGACTATTATCTGGTCGAATCCAGGCTTCACGGCAACTTACTGGAGGAAGAGATGAATTAACCGTTATCTGGTCGGATTCTAGGATTTGCAGAAGATTTTCTTTGAAATTGAATAATTATCTGGTCGGATCCAGGATTCACAACAACTTGCGGGGGATGCATAAGTTAACTGTTATCTGGTCGGATCTAGGCTTCACAGTAACTTGAAGTGGTAGTTAATATCTGGTTGGGTCCAGGTTTCATGGTTTTCAGAAAGTTGTGCCATTATCTGGTCGAGTCCAGGCTTCACAGTGTCTCTGGGGATCATAGTTAATTGTTAACTGGTCGGGCTCCAAGTTTTATAATAAACTGTTTGAAAAACTGTTATCTGGTCGGGTTCAAGCTTTGCAGATTTCTGAGATTGATGAGGTCAAATGCTATCTGGTCGGGTCCAAGTTTCACAATAAACTATTTGGGGATATAGTTGTTATCTGGTCGATTTCCAGGTTTCACAACGAATCTCTGAGGGTGATTGCTATCTGGTCGGATCCATGCTTCACAATGACTTGCTTGAAAAGATGTAATTGAAAATTGATATCTGGTCGGATTCCAGGTTTCTCAATATTTTGTTGGGGCAGAGGCAAACTCTACTGGGAAAAAGAAGTTAAACCTTAGTCAGATTGAGTCCAGGTTCTTTTATATCTTTGAAGAGTTAGACTATTATCTGGTCGGGTCCAGGTTTTATAGCGTCTTGAAATTGAGATCAACTGTTATCTGGTCGGATCCAGGTTTCAGGTATTCAAACTGTTATCTGGTCGGGTCCAGGTTTCAGTAATTACTTGAAAATTGTGCTAATATCTGGTCGGGTCCAGGCTTCATAATATCTTTTTGGTCTTTATATAGGTTTGGGCATTTGACCTTTAACTCGACTTTTTGAGTTTCCTTTTTGTGGATGTTTGAAGAGTATAATACTTTAACATAAACAAGTAATCAACTTCAAAACATAACTAAAATGTTCCCAGCCCCGATGTTACATGAATCAGAGCAAGACACTACTAAATAAAACGACAACTAAAGGAAATAAATCCAAGAGATAACTTCCATTTACAACAACAAACTCTACTTCTGAGTATCTGCAAGATGTCCATGGTGGACAACATCAAAGAAAAGTGGAGAAGACTACATTCATATAATAAACCGTGCACAAAACAATTAGGATAAACTCATACACTACAAAGTCATATACAATTCAACACGCACCTTGATATCATGTATTCACATCTCACGCACATCACAATCAAACTCATACAATTCATACAAACTTACTCATAACCATACTCACATCTCATCATCATTGAACCAAAACACATTCGCGAATTTTATCATGTAATATGACTCATGATAACAACTCCACTTAGCATGCATGTGGTACCATAAGTCTCAGATTGTTGAGCAGATTCACGGGGAAACCCCAAGAATTCCATCTCATCGCATTCAAGAGAGTGCTAAGATACATTAAAGGTATGATTGATCAATCGTGTGCTGATACCAAGACAAAAGTAGACTAACATAGGTATAAAGGTACATGGTTACATTGATTCAGATTTCAGTGAAAATCAAGACGAGAATAAAAGTATTGTAGGATACATATTCATAATAGAAAGCGCTCCAATCTATTGGAGCTCAAGAAAACAAAGCAATGTGACTTTATCATCATGTGAAGCTCAGGACGTGGTTGCATCATATGTGGCAATGCAAAACATTATGGATATAAATGCTGCTATAGAAGCTCAAGATCATGGAACCTTAGAAAACGAAGTCGTTTGTAGATAACAAGTCAGCTATCGACCTAGCCAACCACCCTATGTGTCATTGTCAAAGTAAACACATAGATATGAGATATTATTTTTTAGGGATCAAGTAAATAAAAAGAAGCTTGAACTTGAGCATTGTAAGACATAATGAAAATTAATTGATATACTCACCAAACCCTTGAAGAAAGTCAAGTCCGATGAGGTAAAGAAAAATATTGGGATGAGATGTTCGAAAATATGAATTAAGTGGTGTGTTAGAAGTTGTAATTCATGTTTTATAGACAATGTTGTATTCTACATAGGTATGTTCGACCTAGTTGAAGTAGTAGAAGTCAGCTGTATTCGACAGAGTCGAATATATCATATAGTTGTTAAGTCGAAATGTAATTTGTATGTTTTGGATCGAAGCTGTATGTTTCGGGCTTAAGCATTGGTTGCCTATAAATAGGCATGATGTTGTAATTTCAATACAATCTTCATAGTTAATATTTTTCAATTGATAATAATATTTTTCCTTTATAGTTTTCTCTCTTTTCTCTCTTCTTCCTTATCATCTTTCTTAAAAACCCTAATTATTCCAACACAGGACGATACTAGTGTTTCTATCACTCGACCTATCACTATATTTCATAATTAGGAAAAACTCAAACCCGAATTCAAACTCAATTAAAATAGGGTTTTCTCGTCAAATTCAGGGTCTGTTTGTTTCAGCTTTAAAAAAATGGAATTTTTCTTTGTATTTTTTAAAATAGATTTTACAAAACCGTTTTTCTAAAATATTACAAATGTTTTAGTTTTTATTTTTTCTAAATTGAAACACTAATTTTGACATTTTATAACATAAACATACATTATTGAAGACCAACTCATATTCAAAAATGCAATTTTAAAAAAAATTGTATTTCAAAAATAATTTTTATGAAAATCTATTTGAAATAACTTCAAAATTAAGTGATTTTTTGAAATTTTGATATTCAAATTTTTTTTTAATAAAAAGATAAAATATCTAAAATAACATTTTAAAAATAACTATTCAAACCAAATTTTTATTTAAAACTTTTATAAAAAATTTCTTTACAAATTTTTTTTTACACAAAATTATATAACATTATAAAAATTATTTAAAAAAAAAAGTCAAAATAAGCAGGTTGGTGTGAACCTCGACAAATACAAGTTATATTGTGATATATCTAAGTATATTACAACTTAATTGATAATGGCAAAAAATATTATGCTTTAAAATAAGCAATCAATTTTTAAGGTGGATTATTAACTTGAAGTTTGACTATCTCCTTTAACATTTTCTCCTTTCAATTTGAAATGTATAATACCCTAAACAAAGGTTTTACTTTAATCAATAGTCAGATGATTTTATTCGTCAACTAGAAACTAAGTTAAAATTGTCTGAAAATATAATTAAAACTTAGTCAACTGTTTAAAGTGAATATGATGTGATTTAAGCTGAAGTCCGAAATATTTGTACACCGTTGAAAATGACGTAAAATTATGCAAAATTGCACAAGCTTCGGCTATGATTGAATAAAAAAAGCATCATGTATTATTGAGATAGATAAATGGTAGTAGTACTAATGAGAAAGATAATTAAGCAATCTGTATTGTATTGAGAAATTAAGCTAATAATCTTGTCTGTATTTATTGGAAGAGAAAGAAAGTGATGAATATAAGGTAAACATCATGGACAGGTCTGTCACTCTTTTTGTGATGACAATATATAATATAGTGCTCGTGTTGGTGCTTCAAAGCATGCGAATGCTTTCATCACACATGACTTGATGCTTCCCTAAGCAGGAACCAATATTTACAATTATTTTTTATTATATGTAAGAAAATTCAACAAAATAAAAAATAAAAATAAAAATAGTTAGTTTGTTGTTGTTGTGATACAAGACAACTAGCTAACAAATACCATCAAAGTAGGCAAATGCTATAAAAGTGTAATAGGACTATTGCCCCCCAAATGTTAAGATGCAAGCATTCCCACAATGAATGGACCCACTATTCATTTCTCTCAAGTTTGATCAATGTATAAATCTAATTATAATTCTCTCAACAACACTCCTTGCACGTGAGAGGTGACATTCCCAACTCAATAACAATGCTTCCTTCCTATTCCTATTCCTATTCCTATTCCTATGCCTTTCATCATCCTACCTAGCTCTTTAAGGCTCAATCATTCTCTTTGTTACTTCCATTGTATGTCACATATTTTTTCTATTCTATGCTTTTAAAATTTAGACTGATTCAATAATTATCTTCATAGTTAGTTTGTTATTCAATCTTTAAACAAAGTTGCGAATAAAAATTCAACTTATTCCACGCACTCGTAGGGAACACAAATCCCACACGTTACTTCCATAGTATAAAAATAGATATGAACTTTTTGCCTAAATTATCTGGATTGGATTTGCAGGTTTATGTGATATTCACCAGTGGCAAAACAAAGTGTTTGATTATCCACGTGTCAGCATTAAAAACTAAACTGAAAAATCACAAAAATAATCGAATGGGATCTTTCAAAGCATAACGTCATATTGCATATTGTTTGGTCATGAATTTCATTTCATATAGTGCCCCACTTCAAAGGCCTCCTAGAATTCTATAGCTATAGCAACTTCACTGAATATTAGTGATTACACTGACTATTGCATTTAATTTAAGTAACTACAATAACAAATAAGAAAATTAATCATATTGATAACAACAACAATTAGCTTAGATCTTTATCTCCTATTAGGAAAATGTAATTAAACCACTTGCATTGCATTTGCATCTTCTAATTTGGCAAGCTTACTTCGTCAAGATCATCCAATGATAAGAAAACTTCATCCAAACATGATAATTCAATTCCATCTCCATCTTCACCGTCATCTTCATCGCGCTCATAAACTCGACATATCACCCACCTACTATGTTCCTAAATAAATAAATAAATTCAATATTAATACAACTCAGATAAGTGTAGATTCGAATTAAGAATATTCATATTTTATGCGTTTCAAGTCTTTGACACACAAGATTGTATTATGTATCGTATTATATACTAACTGATTTTGGATGTGATTTTCTTTTGGACGATGATCTAGAAGAAGAAGAAGCGGAATCAGAAAGACGATACTCTTGCATTATCCAATTAGTTTTGCTACCATTAGGTGCATCGCCAATAAGAAAAACATAATATTTCTTCACACCAACTCTCTTATTGCTTGAACTTGTCACAACTTGTTCTTCCATTCCCATTGGCATCCAATAGCCATTGTTAGTAATTCTATTTTGTGTCCTTCTACTATAATAATACCATTGATTTCCCTCTTCCAAAGCCCTACCTACACAAAATTAATCAAACTAATTATATTAAAAGTATTAATTAATTAATGTAAAATAATAATAAAATGAAGTTACCTTGAAGTTGCCATGGATCAAAGGGGTAGAGGTCAAGATCAGGGATAACATCTGGATGACAAGGTAAAAGAGAAGCCTTTCTATGAAGAAAATGGACCACAAGTTCTTCATCAGTTGGATAAAATCGAAACCCTGGTGGAAGATTAACATTGTTGTTAATATTATTGTTATCACCCATTAAATAATTAAAGGTAGAGTAAGAAATAAAATGAAAGAGGTTAGCTATAGGTAGGATATATAGATGAAGGTGGTGGGTGTCAAGGTTTGGTATTTATAGAAATTTTTTATCTAGGAGTTATATTGTGAAGGAGTGACGTGAAACTGAAGGTGTTGTTTATCACACATATATATGAATTCATTATTGCATTTTTTAATACTAATTATTTTGATGAAAAATATATAGTGTATAGTTTTTATTTTGTTTAGTGCCACTTTCAGAACTAACTCCACCAAGGAAGTAAGGCGGCTGATAACGGAAGATTAAATAGTCTAGATTTTTTAAGTCAAAATCGCCTTCTAGAGTTGACATCAACAAGTAAATCCAAAAATTTAAAAGAGATAAATTTTATACAAAAAGATAAGAAAGATGATGTTACAAATTTGAGATTATTATGATAGTCTAATATGCAATTTAATATATTAAATAATACACTATATGACACAAATAAATTTATAAGAAAATGCATTACAAAAATTCATAAACATTAAAATAAATTATTAGTAAGAAAATATTAAACGGTTAAAATATTTTTTAGTCGTGGTTGTTTTAAGGTCAAAATATTCTTATATATGTTCTATTAAATTTTATTGAAAGTGTCAATGAATTTGTAGGTCCGGAACATAGTGTTTTTTGCGTAGGAACCCTTGAAAATCATTATTATCATAGTTTGGATATGAAGTTGGTTCATTGTCTAGATGATCATAACAATAATCTAAATTTCCACCATATGTGCATGTTCATATTCAATAATCATGTTGTGCAATATAAAGCATAAATTCATTATATGATTAAGTGTATTCAAGTGTTAAGATCGATCTAAGTTACATATGATCGCAAATTAGGACGAGAGAACTCTAAATACTCGTTCAATGTCCTTTCTCGCGCCTTCTTGATGTTGGACAACCAATTTATTATATAACCTTGGGGCATTGTGATGCTTTCCATAAATGAGGCCCATTTAGGATAAATGCAATCAAATAGATAATAATTTTCATATCTTAATTTTTACTCTTAAGATTTCACTTATCATACCATTGATCTCTAGCCAAAGATCACAAGCATGGTATCTCCTTAACCCTTATCCTTTTGGTTCACTCTTGGGGAAGATCACACTACTGTAGGATTCTTAGTAGCTCCAATCTTCTTTCTTCTTTCTATATTTTTACAAATTCCATCACGAGGAGATTGCAACATGTGACTTGAATTTTGTTCCACTGGATCATGAACTCCAACTCCACTAGCATGCACCATATAATTCAAATTCATATGATTTGAAGCACCAGCTAACCTCTCTTGGCAAACACAAAGCAAGATTAGTCGCAAGAGGTTTTCTACAGAATCCTGGGCTGGATTATTCTGAAGTGTCTGCACCTGTAGCGAGACATGAAACAATCAAATTAGTGATTGCAATAGCGGCTAACAAGAATTGGCCTCTGATGCATTTAGATGTAAAATCTGCATTTTTGAATGGTCCATTACAAGAAGAGGTATACGTGTCAAAACCTTCTGGATTTGAGAAAAAGAATCAGAAAGAGATGGTGTTCAAATTACACAAAGCCTTGTATGGATTGAAGCAAGCGCCCAGAGCCTGGAATCTGAAGATTGATTCATTTTTCAAGGAACAAGGGTTTCAGAAGTGTGAGATAGAGTATGGTGTTTATGTTCAACATACTTCAGAAGGTAATATGATTCTGATATGTTTGTATGTTGATGACATATTGCTAACAGGAAGTACTAAACAAGAGATAGCTAAGTTCAAGAAGGTTCTGATGAATGAGTTTGAGATGACAGATCTTGGGAAAATGAGTTACTTTCTAGGGATGGAGTTTATGTACTCCGAGAAAGGAATCATTTTGCATCAGATGAAGTATGAACTTGAGCTTCTGAAGAGATTTAAGCTGGAGAATTGCAAAGCTTCTATCACACCTACTGATACGAATCATAAGTTGGACTCTGATTCTGATGGAGAGGATGTGGATGCTACAACCTTCAAACAGTTGGTTGGTTCTCTGAGGTATTTGTGTAATACTAGACCTGATACTTGCTATGCAGTCAGAATGATTAGCAGATTTATGAGTAAACCAAAGTGGTCCCATTACCAAGATGCTGTCAGGATTCCGAGGGTGTGTGAAGGGAACTCTGAAGTATGGAGTGTTATTTCCTTCTGGAAGAAAGACCGTGTTGTACCCCAAAATTTTCCCTCTCATATTTCTCAAGACATGTCAAGAATAACCTCCAAGTTGCTCAAGATTGCTCAAGAGTTGGACAGTCAAATCACCTCATAAGGCAGTCAACCTCAAATTAGGGTTTTGTGTTGCATCAAGGTCCTTGCATCCAAATGAACTCAAGTGCTCCCCAATGTCCTAATATGTTCTCAAGTTCATCCATGTCAAATTTCAAGCCTTGCAGAGGAAGTTTGGTCAGTCAATTGCTCAAGAGGCCCAAAAATCGACTATGCTAGGGCAAAAGTCAACTGTGGCCTACAAATAGTCAAACCTCAAGATTTTTTGTCAACATTATCATTTTGAAGGATAATTCATCATTTGATCAAGGGTTGATCATGATTCATCGAGGATTTCTCAAAATTCATCAAGACTCAAAAGTTGCTAAATTAGGGTTTTGTAGGAAAAGTCAACTCAACTTTGACCAAGCATAACTTTCTCATACTTTATGAGAAATGACCCATCCAAAGCTCATTTTTAAGAGGATGCAATTTCCTACAATCCCTATTCACACCCCCAGATCAAGAAATTCACTCACAAAAGTTACAAATTTAGACATTATAGGTCATTTTTGAAAGTCAACAAAAACACCTTTTTTTCCAAAGCTTATAACTTGAGCATGGAATATCAAAATGAGATGGTACCAAAAGGGTTGGTTATAGGACATCTCAAGGTTTCTAAAAAGTCCAAAAACACCTCCAAATGTTCAAAATTGAAGAAGTTATGCATTGTTGAAGTTGGGCATTTTTCCAAAATTGCCAAAAGTCAACTATCCTCAAAACTTCAAATTTTGTCAAAAGGGCCCATTTTTTTTCCACTTGATTTGATCTTATAACACCACACACGTGTCTTATCTTCAGTCTTGTGCCAATTCATTAATTTTTTCGTTTTATTTGATTTTTATTGAATTAATTCATTTTTAATCAATTTAAATCCAAATAAAATCCAAATATTGATGAAATAGGATCTTTTTGATTGATACAGGTTTCAATTATCATCATGGACAAGATCAAATCCGAATCAAGCCATGTTATGAACAAAATATTGGTTTTTGACATTTTTGGAAGCTTTGTTAATGGAGAATAAAATCAAATCTTCAAACATCAATGCTCATGGATTCAAGGCCCAAAATTAAACCTAGTTCACTCGATTATACTCACACAATGCAAAGGTACAAAGAACACGAGCTGAAGGCTGCATAATCAAAGAAACCAAAACTTGAAAAAAGCTTAAAAAGTTGTGATCTTACCGGATCAGACTTGGACCGTCACGACTGGCTCCGAGCTGAAGTTGAACGAGATGGGGGGGGGGGGGGTACCTGCAAGGCACTCCGATGCTAAAGTGAGTGGTAGTACGAGCAAGAAAAAAGTGTGTATACGGGTAAGAGAATGAATACCTGACCCTCTAGGAATAGAGGGTATTTATAGCCCCCAGCGTGGGGCCAAGGTCCCTTCATTGGGCCGACCAAGACTGGCCCAACAAAGGAACTTCCAGGTTCTACGTGTGTAGTAGGGACCCGCACGTGGTCCCCTTCCTGGTGATGCTCTGCGAGAAGTACGGAGGGACGAGGACGTGATCTTTCTGGAGTTCAGGTGATGGAGTAACGGTCATAGTCTGCCCTACGAGGAGGGTGCTCGAGCTGGATTTCACGGGGTCGACGATGTCGTGTTCACGGGTACGGCGGGCACGGCTGTAGCTTCTGGTCGACGTGCTGGAGGGCATCTTTCGGGCGCGCGCCTCTTGTAGAGTTGCTTGGATTGGGCCTTCGTTCTTACTCTTGGGCCAGGACGGGCCCAGTCCAGAACAGGAGCCCCCCAAGTCGTGGCTCCTGGGGCAGGAGTTATGACTTGATCTCAGTTTGTATTTGTCACGGGGCCTTACGCTCGACTAGGATATTTTCTTCCCCGTGGTTGCCCGAGGGATTTCTCCCGTGTTGCGTTCGTGAGATAATCCCTTTCGAGGCGTGCTCGGGGGACTCTTTACGGGCTGTGCTCGTTGAGTATACGAGGAAACCCTCGGGAACCGTGACACCATCCTAGTGAAAGTAGAGTCATCATTGCCTAGGGGAGTAGACGTCGAGGAGGGGGAGTTCGTGGTTCCCTCAGGATGACGTTTCGTATTCCACGTCATCCCTATAAATAGGATCATTGGGTCCCATAATCCGTTTTTCCTCTTTGCGCTTCTCCTCCTTCCTCTGCCTTTGCCGCCGCTATTTTCCAAAATTTTATAGAACCGCCGTGCTTTCCGCCGTCGTTTTTCTTCCCCGCCGCCGTACATCCTTCCTAATTTCCAAGTAAGCATTTTATCCCTCATGTTTTTCTCTGTGGTAGGTGATTTTTTCCGTTATTTGTATGTTAGAAAATCCGTGTCTGGGATTAGCCCCGGTACATTCGTATTCCTGCCCGGCATATTCATGTTTATGCCCGGTGAATGCATGTTTGTGCCCGGTAAACGCATAGTTTAGGCATGTGACTCGCAATGCTGCCCGGGATTTTCATGGTTCTGGGCGCCTAACTAATGATATTGCCCGGTAAACTCATAGTTCTAGGTTTAGGATTCATGATATTGCTCGTCATATCCATAGTTTAGGTCGACGTACTCGTGACTGGTCGGAATGTTGGCCCATTTAGGCAGTATGTAGGACGACTCGTCGTGGCACCTCGGTGTCGGGGAGGTGACACCAGACTCTTGTTCGAATCCTCAATGTTTTAATCGTGTGTGGAGTGTGACTCGGCT